CCTGCAGGTGTCCAGGGAAAGTCTGGATGTGGACTCAGTGCCCTGGGCTGGGGACAAGGTGAGGATTGGGCACAGCTTGGACTCGATGGGCTGGGAGGGCTTTTCCAGCCTCAATGATCCTGGAATTCTGAGTACAAGCACCACCTCCTCTGCTGTTTCCATGTCCCCTGCTGCCCTATCACTCCACCAGCACAGATTTGGAGGGTAACGCAAGGAGCCCCATCAGGGAACTGATCCAGCTCAGCTGAAAAAACAGCCACGTTACACAAAGAAGTTTCCAGCCAGCTCAGTTCCTCAGCTCTTCACCGCAGCCATCCCCAGCTTCTCATCAGCTCTGTGAGGCGTGTGCAAAACTGCTGCTCATTATTCACTGCCCTAGATGAGAAAAAAATCCCCAAACACTCACACACAAAAGCCCCAAAAACCCTACTAAAGAAAACCAAAACCAAACCATCCTTTTTGTGCAGTATCACACGAGCCCAGCTCGCTCTGTAACCCTTCCCCTGGGTGTCCCAGCAGACAAAGGAGAGGACAACCCCCCTCCAGGCCAAACAATGCTTGTCCAACCTCCAGCAGCCCAGAGCCCAGGGGATTCCCGAGCTCCAGTCTGCATCCAGAGCACGGCATCCAATGCCCACCTACAGACTCACTTCCATTTTCTACTTTCATTCTGAACCCACCCATCTTTTCCCCTCCAAAATTCCCCTGGCAGCCAGTTGTGCAGCACAGCCACCTCCAAGTGGAAATGAGTTTGGCCTCTCCTGCTGCCTGATGGGTTCAGGTCACAGAAATGAGTGAGCAAGAGTTGGGATCAGGGGGCTTTGCTGGGCCACGGTTTCCTGGGATTTTTCCTTGTCTAATTCACCTGCTCCATGCCAGGAGTCAAAAGCAGACTGAGCTCACAGCCTGGGCACAACATGAACACAACTCACAGCTGCTGCTGCTCCTGTAGGCAGGACACAAAAAAGGGATATAATGATGGAATTATGGAATGGTTTGGCTTGAAGGGACCTTGAAGCTCATCCCATTTCACCCCCTGCCATGGGCAGAGATCTTCCACTAGACCATGATGCCCCAAGTCCTGTCCAACCTGGCCTGAACACTGCCAGGGATGGGACAGCCACAACTTCTGGGAACAGGCAAGCCAGTACTTCCAACTGGTGCAGTAATCCCTTCTTTATTTGAATCCTGAAACGACTTGTTTTTCAAACTTCATTGCAACCCCTGCACAGCAACAGCATCTTCACCACTCAAACCATCATTTGTTTCCCAAATCTGGCAAGTTTTCCCCCATTATCTACCTGGGGATCCCTCCTTCTTTCTGACATTAATATATCACAATCCTGAGTGAGCAAATCCTCCCAGGAAGCACAAACAAACTTGGATTTATCACTTGAGGACTCTTGAGGACTAATTTTTAAAAACATTAGTGCTTCAATGTGCCAATATGAAGCAATTTCAAAGCAAGTGGTTCCAAATCCAACCCACTTCTAATAAAGGCAAAAGAAATAATTAAAAAATAGTCATTTCATCCAAGCAGTTTTCCTATACTTTTACATTTAAAATAACAGTTTTTCACACTCCTAGCACAGCTTTGGTTGTGTTCAAAATAACACAAACCTCAAAAATCACTGGTTTTTATCTCTGGATTTGTAGACTTGCAGCCAGGTGAGTAAAGCTCAGGAACACAAAATGCAGCTGCACCTCCAGGAGGGATAAAGATCCAAGGAAGTTTTACCTTCCATCAGGAGCACTGCGGGGAATCTCCCAATACTCACACACCCTTTGTTCTCCTGAGCTGTTACCAGAGATTTCATGGGAAAGCATTTTTTGTGACTCATCTCCATTTGCATTGGACTTAGTCAGACAACAGTGATTACATACTCAAGCTCAGTTCTGGCATTCAAATCTTCCAGCAGCCATCCTGGCCAGAAGGGCCTCCCTCCCTACCTGTTCCCAGGTGCCAAAGGCTGGACTCCAGGAGCTGCACAAAGTGAGCACAGCTCCTATGGATCCTTTATGCACAGCTCACTTCAAACCATCAACAATCTGACATGCCAAATACCAATAAAGAGGTATTAAAAAAATAAGATCTCAGGGATATGCTGCCTGGAAGTTACTTATCCTAACATTTTAAACATTCAAAATAAAGACAATCTGCTGGGAGCAGGAGTGGCAGCAGGGAGAGCACTAAAATGAGGAGCAGCACCAGTGCCAAAGGGGCAGCTGCACCCACCCACTGACCCAGCCACGAGCACCTTAGAGCATAACTGAGAAGTCACCACAGCTCTCAAAACCAAGTATCATAAAAATTATTTTTGCACTGGAAAATCACTGAAGAAGAGTTAAAATTTAAAATAGTTTGTGATGGACTAAGCCTTCCAAGATTTATTCCTTTTGTACCTGCAAACAGCAGGGCAGGGCTGGAGGCCCAGGCCCTGCCCTCCCCAGGGAGGTTACCATGACTCTGGGATTTCTTGCAGAAATGCCATCTGGAATATTTATAGTGCCTGAGAAGGGGCAATGAAATCACTCATGCTGGCACCTCAGCACATCCAGAAGCTTAACTGCTGCTTTAGCAGGAAATATTAGATTGAAGTGACTCAAAGTCAAAGTGAGAGTATGTCGAATTACAGGGACAGTAAGTTATCTCCCAGCAGCCATCATGGAGCAGGATCAGCCAACGTGCAAAGATGAAATGTGAAGTGAGAGAAGTTACTGACATGAAGCACAAATGCTCTGTTAGGGTGTCTTCCCTTACACAGGCAAACAGGCCTTTGGTGTTAGAGAATTAAAACCTTTTCCTCATGCATCCTCCTTAGACAGAGGCCAGTTTCAATATTCCTTGAGATGCTTATTTTCATTACAAACTAAAGACTGAGCCTTCCAGTGCTTGAAGTGAACCTACAGAAGAGCTCAGAGGGACTTTGGACAAGGGATGGAGGCACGGGACCCAGGGAATGGATCCCACTGCCAGAGGACAGGGATGGATGGGATTTTGGGAATTGGGAATTGTTCCCTGGCAGGGTGGGGAGAGGCTGGGATGGAATTCCCAGAGAGGCTGGGGCTGCCCCTGGATCCCTGGCAGTGGACACTGGGCTTGGAACAGCCTGGGACAGTGGAAAGTGTCCCTGCCCCTGGAAGGGGGTGCCACTGGATGGGCTCTGAGGTCCCTTCCCCCCCAAGCCATTCCAGGATTCCACGAACCAGTCCCTGCCTACAGTCCCCACCAAACAACCCAGTACATTTTACGTGTGTCCCAGGCTGAGCTCAGAGCAAACAGCAAAGCCAGGGCAGGGATCAGAGCTGCTGGGGTTATTCAAACACAGGAGAGCCTCAGCCAAGGATCCAGTCACCTCCCGTCACCCACTGTGTACACAGGGCTTTGGAAACCACATTTCCTTGTTGCTACAGGTCGAAGACTCCACGGGAGGCTTTCCCCAAAACTCTGCTCTTCCAGCTGCAAAACCAAGCAGGGCTGAAGGGCTGCAGCTCTTTCCCACAGCAGGGACCCCCAAGGAAAGCCCCTTTCCAGGCTCCTGGATTGCCACTGCTGCTGCAGGGCCAACCTGGGCAAGTGTGAGAGCTGCTGTCACCAGGGGGAATGTGAAATGCCATTTTCAGCCAGATTGCTGCACTGCTTGGGAATAATGCAGAGAGAAGTGAGTGGACCTGGGTAACTCAGGTGTTTGGATTCTTCCTTCAGGGATGGGCTGTTTTTCCCAAGGTGCTCATGGAGAGTCTCCCTTTCAACTGACATTGTCTGCACAGGACACTTCCCTCCAGGTTTCCACATCAACTCACAGAAGGACTATGGAAACAACACATCTAAGGCAACTTTAGGCAGTTAAACACCACACAGAAAATCAATTTGTACCCCAACACCTGCCAAATTCCACTGTGAAGACACAAACCTGATATAACCAAAGGTGTACACAGCTACCATCATCAGACATTCAGTTCAGAATTCACAAATAAAACACCTCTGCCTTCCAGTTTAGGCACTCCAGAAACAAACAGCCACTGGTCCCACTGGTGGGAAACACTTCCAAAATCTGCACGTGCATGCTTCCTACTCAACTTGGTGATACTCCTCTTGAAGGTCCCAAAACTGCACAATTAGACCAGCAACTAATACTAATTACTAAATTACTAATTATTAAAAGCACGAGTTGCTGGAGCAGGAGCCACTGTGTGTCAGTTGACTTTTTAACTATGACGTTGACTATTTTTAACTTTGAGAATTGAAATAAACCTTCCCAACGAACTCCAAAGGCAAGGAATGTCATGTGATCCCAGCAAGGATCTGCCAAGCAGTGCCAAAATACACCCCGGCCACAGCAGCAAACCCATGTGGCCTCCCAGAGCCAGGGTATGCCATGGGAAGGGACAACATTAACTGTCACACAGTGCCCCAAAAATCCAGCAAAATGTCAAGTTGAGGCCCTTGAGAGGTTTTAGGAAATAATTTTCTTGACACTTAGTTGTCACAAAGGTATTTTTTTTTCACTTTAAGTTTCCCAAGCCTTGCTTAAGAGAGTGTTTTTGCATGTTATAGTCTGAGGTGCAATTTTTGGGTGATGTTTCAACACAGATGAGGAAGTGCACGGGGGTGAACTTACACCCAGAACTAAGATCTACACTGACACTCCATGTTCCCTCAGCTGCATTTCCAGTGATTTAAGGGATTTATAGCAAACACAAAAGTCAGATCCAGTTCAAACCCCTCAAAATATTTTTCTTTTTTATCCAGATGTGAGTATCTGCATGTGTTACAGAAGTGGGTGCTGCAAGAAAGCTGAGACAGGAATTACCCTTAATTTCCAGAGCCTGTCACCAAGAAGGTGAGAAGCTGCTGACCTGAACTCTTCATCTGCAAAACAAGATGTTCAGGAGAGGGCAAACGAAGAAGCCCTGGGATGGAAGGATTTTGGGTACCAGGCCTGTCCCGTGGCACAGACTGCCCGGAAAAGGCAAAGACACATCCCTCTTTCATGATGTCACAGCAGCTCTACCTTGGTCAGGAGGTGCTCTGCGAGGAAGGGCTGGAGTCAGCTTTGCCGAGGGGGGAAGGACAGCTTTGTTGGGCGAGAAAACAGACCCCACCCACGAGCGCGATGGTTTCTGAGCCACATCCATAGCGGTGCAAACACGGGCAGGGGGATCCCACCGCGCTGCCGCCCGCGGCCACAGGGATTAACGCTGATGGAAGGGGCCAGGTGGGCTCCGGCGGCTGGCACAGGGCGTGGGGGACGAGCTGCCAGCGCAGCCCCCGCGGGGGGGGACAGCGAGGGTCGCTCAGGGTCACCCAGCGCGGAGGGAGGAACCAAAGCCACCCTGCCCTGCAGCGGGGGCGAGGCGGCGTCGGGCGGCACCGGGGCGGCTCTGCCGGGGCTCCGCGTCCAGGGCCGGGGGACAGCACGGGGACACAGCAACGGGGCTGGGGGGGTGACACAGGAAGGTCCTGGAGGGACACAGGGTGGTCCAGGTGGGGGATACAGGGGTGGGGCTCGGGGGTGACACAGTCCGTCCCTAGGGGTGACACAAGCATGGGGCTGGGGGTCCCTGGGGAGGGGGGGTCACAGGGGATTCCTGATGGGTGACACAGACTGTCCCTAGGGGTGACACAGTCCGTCCCTAGGCAGGGAGAGCTCAGAGCCCCTGGCAGGGCCTGGAGGGGCTCCAGGAGAGCTGCAGAGGGACTGGGGACAAGGCCTGCAGGGACAGGAGCCAGGGAATGGCTCCCACTGCCAGAGGGCAGGGCTGGATGGGATTTTTGGACGCAATTCTCGGCCATTGCCCCGCTCAGGTGCGGTCACGCCCCGCGGGCCCGCAGAGCCCCCGCGTGATGACGTCACCAGCGGCCGCGCGAACCCGGGGGCTGTCGGCCCCGCCCTTGCGCCGGCCAAAGCCCCGCCCCCTCGCTGCGCTCTCCGCGATCCCATTGGCTGCGCTCGCCTCCTCCCCCAGAGGTTGGAGTGACGTCAGCGGGGGGGGCAGAGCGCGCTGCGGGCGGGGCAGGAGGCTCCCCCTGGTGGCGCGGGCGTGAGGGGGCAGAGAGCCCTGAGGGGAAAGCGCAGAGTGCCGCCATGGTGCAAATGTTTGGGTGGGAAAGGACAGCAAAACCCATCGTATTGCAGCCCCTGCCATGGCAGGGACGCTATCCCAGGGTGCTACCTGGGAGGGGGGGGTCACAGGGGATTGCTGATGGGTGACACAGGGGGTCCCTGGGGAGATGGAGATAATACAGAGGATCCCTGGGGGGTGACACAATAACGGGGCTGGGGTGAACACTGGGGGTCCCCGGGGGGTGACACAAGGACGGAGCTGGGGAATACGGCGATAGGAACCGAGGGGTCCGCAGCCCCCCCTTGAGCGGAAAAGCACTGACCAATGGTGGAGATGAAGGTGGTGTTGAAGGCATCGTCGGAGAAGCGGAAGAGGACGCAGGTCTTGCCGACCCCCGAGTCCCCGATCAGCAGCAGCTTGAAGAGCAGGTCGTAGGTTTTCTTCGCCATGGGGGAGGGCGCGGCGGCCGCCGCCGCCCCTCCTCGCCGCCTCCTTCACCGGGCCCGGCCGCTCCCGAGGGCGGCGGCGACGGCGGAGGACGAGGAGGAGGAGGAGGAAGAGGACGAGAGCGAGGAGGAGGAGGGGGCCCACAAAATGGCTTCCTGTGGCGGGGCGGCCTCGCGCGCTCCCCGCGCCCGCGGCTCCTCACGGGGAGGCGGCGGCGCCCGCCCTCATAACCCCGCGGGTCCGCCCGGCTCCGCTCGGCTCGATGGGCCCCGGTTCTCGCCGGCCCTTCCCGGTTCTCCCCCGGGGCTCGCGGCGGCTCCTCAGAGGCGCTGCCGAGGCTGCGCGCGCCGCCTCCCCCGCCTCACGCACCGCGCAGGCCCGGCGGGGGCGCGCGCGCACGCCGCTGTGACGTCACCGTGGCGGCAGGGGGGGGGGGGCGGGGCGGCGGGTTGGGGGGGGGGGGGGGGGGGGGCGGTGCGGCGGTTGCGGGTGACGTCACCGCGCGGCCCCGGAGTTCGTTTGTTTTGTGCGGTTTTTGCCGGGATTCGCCGACCGGGGATCTGGGAGCGAGCTCCGGGAGCGAGGATCTCGTGGGGTTTAACGGGACCAGGTGCTGGTGGTTGCTGCACTTGGGTCGGGACAAACCCTCGGATCCATCCGGACTGGGCATGAGCACAGGGAGAGCAGCTCGGGGGTGTTGGTGGTGAGAGGCTGGACATGCCCTGGCCCTGAAACCCCTCGCATGCTGGGCTGATTCTCCAGCAGGAAAGGGGGATTCTGCTCCTCTGCCCCTGTGCTCAGCTGAGAGCCCACCCGCAGAGCTGCCCCAGCCCTGGGGATTCCAACAGCCCAAGGACCTGGGGCTGCTGAGAGGGCCCAGAGGAGGCCTGGAGCTGCTCCAGGGCTGGAGCCAGGCTGGCAGAGCTGGGGGGGCTCACCTGGAGAGGAGAAGGATGCAGGGAGAGCTCAGAGCCCCTGGCAGGGCCTGGAGGGGCTCCAGGAGAGCTGCAGAGGGACTGGGGACAAGGCCTGCAGGGACAGGAGCCAGGGAATGGCTCCCAGTGCCAGAGGGCAGGGCTGGATGGGATTTTTGGACGCAATTCTCGGCCATTGCCCCGCTCAGGTGCGGTCACGCCCCGCGGGCCCGCAGAGCCCCCGCGTGATGACGTCACCAGGGGCCGCGCGAACCCGGGGGCTGCCGGCCCCGCCCTTGCGCCGGCGAAAGCCCCGCCCCCTCGCTGCGCTCTCCGCGATCCCATTGGCTGCGCTCGCCTCCTCCCCCAGAGGTTGGAGTGACGTCAGCGGGGGGGGGCAGAGCGCGCTGCGGGCGGGGCAGGAGGCTCCCCCTGGTGGCGCGGGCGTGAGGGGGCAGAGAGCCCTGAGGGGAAAGCGCAGAGTGCCGCCATGGTGCAAATGTTTGGGTGGGAAAGGACAGCAAAACCCATCGTATTGCAGCCCCTGCCATGGCAGGGACGCTATCCCAGGGTGCTACAAGCCCCAGTGCCCAACCTGGCCTTGGGCACTGCCAGGGATCCAGGGGCAGCCCCAGCTGTGCCAGGGCCTGCCCACCCTGCCAGGGAACAATTCCCAATTCCCAATCTCCCATCCAGCCCTGCCCTCTGGCAGTGGGAGCCATTCCCTGGCTCCTGTCCCTGCAGGCCTTGTCCCCAGTCCCTCTGCAGCTCTCCTGGAGCCCCTCCAGGCCCTGCCAGGGGCTCTGAGCTCTCCCTGCATCCTTCTCCTCTCCAGGTGAGCCCCCCCAGCTCTGCCAGCCTGGCTCCAGCCCTGGAGCAGCTCTGGGGTCTCCTCTGGGCTCTCTCAGCAGCTCCAGGTCCTTGTGCTGTTGGAATCCCCAGGGCTGGGGCAGCTCTGCAGGTGGGCTCTCACCTGAGCACAGGGACAGAGGAGCAGAATCCCCCCTTTCCTGCTGCCCACTCTGGGGGTTTCAGGGCCAGGACTGGGGGATTTCCAGGTGGCAAGGTGGACATGGGGAATTCCCTCACAGCTCCTGCTCCTCCCACACAGGGAACAAACTTTCTCGCAAGAGCCAGGCTGTGGTACCAGCACTGAAGGCACTGGAAACGCTGCAGATGCCCTGTCACAGGTTTTGCACAGACCCACTTCTCCTCTCACGTTGAATCCTGAGCTGTCCAATGGTGTGATCCAGCACACTGCCAACTGCAATTTGCTGTCATAATTACATATTCTGCTGTCTGTAATTTCCCATTGTTTGCAGGATAAGTTATCTTAACTTATTTGGGGGCAGAGGGGCTCGAAGGCTGGAGAAGGCCCTGGGGGTGCTGTGCCAGCAGCTGGACACCAGCCCAGGTGTGCCCAGGTGTGCCAGAGGCCACTGGCTCCTGGGCGGCTCTGCACAACTCCCTGACAGGAGGGGACAGCCAGGGGGGGTCGGGCTCTGCTCCCAGGGAACAGGGACAGGACAAGGGGAAATGGCCTCAGGCTGGGCCAGGGCAGGCTCAGGGTGGACACCAGGAGGAATTTCCCCATGGAAAGGGTGCTCAGGCCTTGGCAGGGGCTGCCCAGGGAGGTTTGGAGTGCCCATCCCTGCAGGTGTCACCTGGATGTGGCACTGAGTGCCCTGGGCTGGGGACACGGTGGGGATTGGGGACAGCTTGGATTCCATGCTCTGAGAGCTCTTTTCCAGCCTCAGGGATTCTGTGAAAAGGTTCCCTACAGGTCATGTCCCTCCCAGGCCCAGCTCTGACACAGGGCCGGCTGTGTTTGTTGTGTTGGTTTCCCACCCTGCTGGGCGAGCAGGCAGCTGTCCCCGCTGGCAGTGGGGCCCTGGCCTCTGTCCCTGTCCCCTGAGCCCCGGCAGCGGCTGCGCTGCGGCGCTGACACAGCACACGCAGGAGCCACAGCACGGGGTTATTTTTAGCTCTTTGCTCGAGCAGTGTAAGGGCGCCGCACAAACACTTCCTCTGTGACTGAGCAGAGGGAAGGGGAGAGCTCCAGTGCCCGTGGGGAGCTCTGTGGCACAGGCACTGCCACTGAGCCAGGCTGGGAACCACGCTCCAGGGGGCTCCAGGCACTCCTGGGAGGTTTGTCAGCTCTGGAGGTTCACACTCTGTTTGCAAGAACCTTTTGTCCTAGACAGCTTGCTCATGAACTTCATCACTTCAAGGAAGGTTATCTTTGGGATCCCGGAGAGGACATGGTGCCACACAGAATCTCAGAATCCCTGAGGCTGGAAAAGCCCTCCCAGACCTTCCAATCCAAGCTGTGCCCAATGCCCACCTTGTCACCAGCACAGAGCACTCAGTGCCACATCCAGGCCTTCCCTGGACACCTCCAGGGATGAGCACTCCAAACTTCCCAGTGCAGCTCCTTCCAATGCCTGACCCCCCTTTCCAAAAAGAATTTCCTCCTCAGAATCTCACATATCCCTCTGCAAGCAAGACAAAGTGTTTTCTGTCTGCTGTGTAAGTCTGGCCCTTGTGTCAAATTGTTAAATGTTATCCCATGAGGAAAGCCATCCCTCAGGAGATGCTTGGCCAAGGACAAAGACACCTTTGGTCTTGGTGGCTCAGTCAGGGAACCATCTCTGCAGGACTGGGAGATTTGGAGGTGTCCAGGCAGAGGTGGAACAGCTCCCACAGCTCTCTCCCCTATATCCTTCCCAGGATCTTCTGTCCTGATCCCCAGAGGACACTGATCTGTGATGAGGAAAAATTACCAAATTAGGACTAATGAGGTGTAAAGGGAGAGCCAGCAGGACCTGGCAGCCTCTTCCTGGGTTTTGCAGGGGCAGCTGAGCAGCAGGAATTGCAACACCACTGCTGGAGAGCTGTGAATCACCAGCCAGTTGTGCAAGAGGAGCAGAGCAGAGCTGGGCTTGCTGGTTACTCACTCACAGCCTCACAGAGCAGGGCCCAGCCCATGGTGCTGTGGGGATGGAAGGGCCTTTGTCATCCCAGAGCCACTGGGAACAAGCTGCTCTGTGTTCTCCAGCTCCTCCCCCAGCCAAGGCAGGGCTGGGGGCTCTGCTGCCAGGCATGGGCACAGGCCAGGCCATCCGAGGAGGTTCTGGGACCACCATTCCTTGAAGGATGAGCTCCCACGGGGCACAGACCCTCCCAGCCCCAGGACACCTCCAGCTCCCCCATACTTCAGGAGTGTCTGCAACCCAAACTTGTGTAAGGACAAGAGCCCCAAGGGAGCTGTTAAACAGCCCCAGATGCTCAGGGCAGAGTCTGAGGAACAGAAAAGTTTGAATTTGCTCCACCTGCTGCCATACAATGTTGTCCTCTTAGCAGGGGTGTCCACAGCTTGTTCTGTGCTCCAAGCACCCCAGACACCAGAGCAGGAGCTCTGAACTCCAGACACCCCTCTGGCTTTTTGTTTTTTATTGATGTCATCACCAGGGCAGGAGAACTCAAATAAATACAAAGAATCACAAAATCCTTCAGGTTGGAAAAGACCTCCAGGATCATTGGGGCCCAGCTGTGCCCAGTCCTCACCTTGTCACCAGCCCAGGGCACTCAGTGCCACATCCAGGTGACACCTGCAGGGATGGGCACTCCAAAGCTCCCTGGGCAGCCCTGAGCACCCTTTCCATGGGGAAATTCCTCCTGGTGTCCACCCTGAGCCTGCCCTGGCCCAGCCTGAGGCCATTTCCCCATGTCCTGTCCCTGTTCCCTGGGAGCAGAGCCCGACCCCCCCTGGCTGTCCCCTCCTGTCAGGGAGTTGTGCAGAGCCACAAGGTCTCCCCTGAGCCTTCTTTTCTCCAGGCTGAGCCCCTTCCCAGCTCTGATGAATTTTTTGAGATGCCCCAGGAAATCTCAATGTAAGAAATAACCTTTGTCAGGATGTTGAATTCCTCAGCAGAAGAAATGACAGCGCAGCAAGAAGGATCCCCCGCACAGATTTTCTCTTTTGCAAATATGATGCTGGGTCTCACCAGGCCTCCAGCCACCCTCCTGCCTCCTGCTGACCCACACAGCCACGCCAAGTGCCTCCTGCCAAGGCTGTTTGGGCAGTGGCAGGCCAGGCTGGTGTTTGGAGCAGCTCCTAGCACTGCTGCCAGCAGGGTCAGCCTCTCACCACCTTGGATTTCACCTCCTTCCCTCACCCCTCTGTGGACAGAGAGTATGTGAGGGGAACAAGAAAGGCAGCTTCCTGTTCCTGAAACAGGGACTTCCCCTGGTTTCTGTTCCATCCAGCCCGCTGGGAGGAGAAGGACTCAGTCAGCACTTCCAGGTGACAGGGAGGACACAAAGGGCACACAGAGCCCAGTGCCTTTGGCAGCAGCTCTGTGGGCCGGGCACGTCTCTGATTTCTGCACAGTCACCTCAGCTTGGCCAGCATGGGGCACTCAGCTGGGCTCTGCCAGCTCTCCTGGATCATCCAGGAGCTCCCTGCCCAGGGCACATCGGCCGTGCACCCCCAGGGGCTCCTTCCCA